CACCCCCCTGAAAAAAAATATTGGAAATGGGCAATAGGTTGGAAATGTGCAAAATACTGGAAATGTGCAAAAGACTCTCCTCTGCTTAGAAGAAAGTCCACCTGTACCCAACACCACCTTGGTCCACCTGGAACTAGAGAGACTTGCGGGTTTCCTCACCATACAGCTGGGAAGAGAGCTTTGTGCTCCTGATGCTGCCTCACAGCCTTGCTTTTCAGAAGTGGAGCAACCCAATGGACTGTGTCAGGAATTCAGCTAAAAATGTCCTTATGAAGACCTAAGGCTAATTTGCATGTAAACGGTTACTCCAAGCAAGTTTATACTAAGACATGGCAAATTACTGAGCAGTTGTACCAAAACAGCGATACAGTATTAATCTATTAACACAGTACCGATCCAGGACTTTCTGCAGGACTAGTCCTGGGAAAGGCGGACCCATGCTGGCTGGGTCTAACGAAGCTCAGCAGAGACTAGTCGTGGTTGTTGTTTGCTTGCTTTTTACATACCTGCACAAACCATTCTGCGTGACTTACTTACATTACCTTCGACAGTTGCCTGCCTTTTTCAGGACTAGCTGGACCTATTCTTGTGTGAGGGACTGTTACCTGAACCAGCCGGGACCGCTCCCTGTGGAGCAGCTGTGATCTGTTCCTGGACCTTGAAACCTGTTCATTTACACACCCTGTAATTCCTTTACCCAAGTAGCAAGTGCTACATTTTCCAGTAAAGCCCAATCCTAAAGAAAACCACAGAAAACTATCTTGTAACAGTAACTAAAGCTCCAAACTAGTGTTCAAGCACACTAACCCTTTTCTGTCTCCCCAGTCTTCCATGTACAGAGAGGACTTCTTCCCATCCTGTACAGAAGGGACTGTAAAACTGAAACTCAGGCAGACACTTTTTAGAAGAGGACATTGTATTTAATTAGTCCTTTCCGTAGGTGGGAACTCAGTCTAGGACAACTCCATAAGAGCTTCCCCCACGCAGCAAGTAACTGTATTTTAGCAATAGCTCTACTGTAAGATCTGGGTTCGCTTCCCAAAGCTGGGTCACCAGTACATGCCCTGGGACGACATCTAGCTCTGCAGCTCCCTTCCTTCTGCCCTGGTTTCCGTATGCACGAATTAGAAAGGAGCATGTGTGCACTTTAATAAGGTTCTTCAATCTGGACAATTTGGAACTGGCCGTAAGATTTGCGGCAGACAAAACCTTTGTCTTTGCAGGATTGGGCACACATGAACTTGTGTCTTCTCGTAGACTTTGGTCTTGATGTGGTAATACAAAAAAAAACCCCTATTTTTCTGAGCCAACAATATGTTTACCTACAAATTTAAAAAGAAATGAATGAAAAAAAGCTTTTTGGCAACTTATGTTTCTTATGTAAGAGAACAAAATCCTTTCTATCTTCTGTATCATCTCACGTGCTCCACTTCTGCCATCTAATTGTCTTTAAAATGCTGCAGTTCTAGTAACACCAGCACAAACAACAGAGTGCAGGCTCATCCATTCGATCGTGTTTTACGTTAGAAGCTAAATATTTTGTTCCCCAAAATTAAAACAAAAATATCAAAATAACCCCTCTAGAACGTGAATGACTGCTGTGTTACATGTTTTAACAATGCTAGCAGCATATAGTGGAAAGCCGACTGCACGTTCCTTCTTTGCATGTGTCCTTCATGCACTATGTGTAATAGGAAAACATTTTAGTTTTGTTCACTCCTTAAAGCTTTTCATGGAAACCACTCATTAAAATTAATGAAGAAATTTTACATTTTGTAAAATATATGGAGCATCACCGAATATGTTTCTGGCCCTGCAAAATCTAGTCAAGTGAAAGAAACAAAATGCTTCTCATCAAAACAATATAGAGGTTTATTAGAGCATGTTTCCATGTTTTAAACATGCAATGGTTGCACAATTTCTTGTTTCCTTCTGTTTTCGTTAGTGTGCCCTCATGATAACCCAAAGCAGCTGTTAAAAAAAACCAACGCATCTCCACAGATGAACAATTAAAAAATATGGGCTGTGCCTTCCAATGTTTCAATTATGTGGACAACAAAACTCAGTATTTACAAAAATGCCTGGAATCTAAATACTGCTAAATAGTGTTGTCAATTTAATTACAGAAACTGTAGAACACTCACAGGGTACATTTATGCTGACAAGCCCCAAGTGTAAGCCTAGATTTTGTAACATATTTGGAAGAAACTGAAAATTATAATTTTGAGTCTGTTTACTTTTTTTTACATATTGGTCATTACCCAGCTTAGTTTTATTATCAACATTATTCTACATTTGTTTTCTCGTTGTCTTCTCTGTTTGAGTATAAAGTGTAATAGAAAAATAATTCAATTCCGCAAACATGAAAATTCTGTTAGTACAGCTAATTACTTTTTAATGTATTTTTATGTACAAAGAAAGTAGTAACACAAATAGAAAACTAGGCAAAGGATAGTGTACTTAACTTGAAACATTTGCAATTTCAGTAACTGTGAATCACCTACTTGCGAACTATATGCAGTACATATAATGTGCACAAATACACACACACACAGCGCCACTGCATGCATTTTTTTGGGCTAAAATATAACTTAAAGGTTCACAAGCCTTCACCCAGAACTGGCGAGACCTGTAGTCACATCTGTGTACTAAAGGTGGTCAAAAAGATAGTCTGTTAAATATAAGCCATTCCACCACGCTGTCCTTTGGCTCTAGTGTTTTGAACAACAACAACAAAACGTTAGACCAGATCGCTCTCCTGAAGAGCAAATGATAACAAGAAATGAAGAGAGAAGAGCTAAAATTTTCTGTAGTGACAACAAAATCTAATTTTTTTTTTTTTTTTGAGCTATAATCTTACCTATTCTTTGCCTGGAATAGTCAGTGATATGTCTGGGAGCTTCTGGAGTGGACAATGGGTTGAATATGATCTTATCCTGCATCTAGCTCTATTAATTTCTGCTACCATTATTGCGACAGGCTTGGGGCCAGCACCATCCTCAGTGAAAGCCACAGTTGCGGGCCCAATTTTTTTCTCTCCTCAGGCAATTAGAAAAGCAATCTTGTTTGTCTGGTTTTGGTGGGAAAGAGAGAAACCTGCTGCTGAGGTTCCTCCTTGCAAACATAAGCATGCACGTTATGCAGCCGTGCACGTGTCCCACGGCTCTAGCAAGCCAGCTGGGACTGCATCAGAAGCCCTGCGTGGTGCTAGGGGAACGCCTGGATTTCAGGACCCAGAGAGCTCAGGAAAATGGAGCAGACAGGTAGCTGTACTTCTCAAAGAGACCCTCAGGACTTAAAAACCACAGCAAAACTTATTTATTGCAGTTTACTGCCAATTTCTAAGCCTATATTGCCACGATCTGCCAACCCCCCCCCCCAACAACAACATTGACAATTTTAATATGTTCCCAGAAGACTTGTAAGTTTGATTCTCAGATCTGTGACTTGGAATATACCGATTCTTCAGCTCTTACCAAACGGCCACATTCTCCCGAATTTATGGGGCTATTTGCTTGACAACCAAATGTGGCTTGATCCTAGCTGTCTTAGTGAAGAAAAAAGAAAAGATGCAATTCTTACCCATAGAGCAAGTGGTTCTGGTAGTCACGATGAGTTTTCTTGGTGTATCTGTTTGTAACAGTGCTGAGCTAGTCATAGTTTATCACACTTATTTATCGATACATTTTTTCAAATTAGTTCAAAAAAATCAAGGTAGGTGCAACAACACAAAAAATTATGCTGTATAACTTCCATCAACAAGACGGGAAGAGGAAATACCACCCTAAAAATGAAACCCCCCAGTACACTTACAGACATGGGCAGCACTGAAGGATTTGCCTTCACAAGGGCTGTTAGATGTATTATCTGAGAATTGCTAGACCTTTGCAAGATAAAGCAGTATGATCAATTAAATTCCCAATAACTCAGACACTGTCTAACCATGTTCCTTACCTGGACAGTCAAGACTTTCTCCCAACTCTTTTCTTTTTGTGTTTAAGACTAAATTGTGATCTTGCTCATATCATATTCTTTCCCTGTGACTTCATTGACAATCATAAGAAGTTTTAGGCATTAACACTATAATAGAGCGGAGTTACCCCAACACATGCCAACTCCGCTATTTTTACTGCTTTGAACAACAAGCAAACAATGCACTTAGTATTTTAGAAACAAAAATAAAATAAAATAAAATAATAAATTCTATTTAGAAAAATAATTGCTTTATTGTTGTCACACCTTCCTGATCAGTTGCCCAAATCCTAAATACCTTTCAGAAAATAATTTACATGCTGCAGAATAGCTTATCGAGCAATGCGGCATCTTTTGGCTTACGGCCATCTTAGTCACTCCTTGTTACCACGACTGGTGCCTTTGACCAGCGTAAAGTGCTAACCTTCCCGAGCGCTGTTAGGGGGCTGCAAGCCCTGCCTGCCCCGGGGCCTGTCTCAGGTTGGAATGGGGATGAAGCTGGTTGATTTGGAGTGGGGTGACTCTCTCCAGGTGTTCAAGCTGTGGGTTGGGCTTCTGTTGTTGGTAACGGAAGTCTGTCGCCTGCTGTTGCTGTTTGAATCTTCTTTACTCAGCGTTTGCTTTATTTTTTGGCAGCAAGGGAAGCTCTGTATGCAGTCTTGCAGGAGGTGCCCGCTGAAGAACATGTAGATCCACGGGTTACAGCAACTGTTCAGACTGGCCAACAGAGCCGTGACGGTAGTCGCAGTGTTTTCAGAATCTGGGGAGGGGGGAAGAACGTGGTTTAATCATCGAAAGAACATTCGCACCATTCAGTCAATTGCTTCATTAACTGTTGGATTTATTTTCCTGAATAATTATAGGTCTAAAAGTTGAGCAGCAGCATTTGAAATTAATAATGAAGACATAATCAGGAAAATTCTTACTTATGTAAGGCTGCCACTGAAGTCAATGGGAATTTGTCTGAACAAACTTCAAAAAGCTGTGACACAAGAAGTTAGGGGGCAATCCATCCAAAATAATGCTTTAGTCCCGTTTCCACTGATATTTAGCCATGTGTTGATAAGCTCATGCTTTAAATACTGAACAGTTTTTATTCAGACTTTTGTTTTAAAAATTGGTTACCCTGGGAGGCAATGGCAAAATTCCCACTGCTTTCCCACTGCTTTCAATAATACTGAATTTTGCTGTATACATTTGCATGCTGAAAAGTGTTGAATGCTCAAGTAACTACTGGCTGGTGAATCAAATCTGGATTTCAGAGATTGAACCCATTTTCACTAGGGGAAAAATGGAAGTTAGCACTATGCAATAAAACAGTTATGGTCATCTACCTTCAATAACTATTTAAATTATCAAATACTCTAAATACATATTTAGTCTAATCAATTATTAGTGACCTTTCTTTGTAAAAATTGAATTTCCAAAGAACTATAATTGCTGTGTTACGCAGTTCCGTAGATTTAAAGAATCTCTTCAAACAAACCTACCAAGTACCCATCTGTTCAATTAGGTCTGCATTTCTTTTGAAGTAAAAAAAAAATCTATTTGTCTACTGCAAGCCTTTATTTCTCTGTAGAGACCTGTGTTTTAGGCTTGACTTTAGTCCCATATTAGGGGCAATCAATGCTTTCACTACAGTAAGTGATAATTTGGGGATTTAAAAAAATAACAAGAAATTATGAATTCCAACATTTTGATTTGCATCTCTTTCATTATGAGGAAACGGGGTATATGTTACTATGTTGCCTGTCATTCCCATGTAATAACTTTTAAACTCATCAAGTATTTTCAGCCAGATTTAATAGAGGGACAGGTATCTCCAAAACACTAAATCGCCACTCTTTCATGAGAACTGGTGGCTGACTAAAGGCGCTACTCAGAGGCGACTGCCCTGTTGAGAGGAAGGGTTCGGGGTGTGCTCAACCCCGTTATTAGACAGCGGGGAATGCACATGTAACGCTGTCGCGGGAAAGCAGGCTTGGTAAGTTCCCTGCTCGTGTAAATTACTCGTGACATATATGTGTGTATGTTCAATAATAACACAAAAGGGTTCTAAAGTTTTATTCATCGGCAGCTTCAAGTGGAAGAAAACGTTGCTGGTTCAAATGATCGCA